TCATCATCTATAGGATGTGTGTGCTTTATGCTCCCTCATCTGTATTTGCCATACTCAGACCCACCTTTGTTTCCTCACCTCCAGACAGTGTGTTCTTTCATCCTCCCTCATTTGTGTTCGGCATACTCAGACCTTATTGTCCAGTTGGTGCATGCTTTTGTCCTGTCTCATGTGTTGTCACCATGCTGACCCCCACCTTCCCTGCTTGCCTCTTCATTTCTAGTTGGTGTGTGCTGACATCATTTCTCATCCGTGTTTGCCATACTTACACCACCTTTGTTTCTTTATCTCCAGGCAGTGCGTGCTTTCATCCTCACTCATCCATATTCACCATACTCACATGCCCTTTGGTCTGTTCTTTTTTTCTCCAGACGGTGTGTATCTTTGTCCTCCTTCATCTGTGTCTGTGTCTGCTATGCTCACACCCTTTTTGTTTTCCTTATCACCAGTTGGTATGTGCTTTTGACCTCCCTTATATGTGGCCACAGTAATCACTCACCTCTTTGCCTCCTCACATCCAGAGAGTGCATTCTTTTGTCCTTTCTTATCTGTACTTGTCATACTCAAACTACCTTTGTCTGTTTCTCTCCAGGCAGTGTGTTCTTTTATCCTTTGAGCTGTATTCACCACACTCACACACCCCTTTGTCTGCTCACCTTTAGAAAGTGCTTGCTTTACTCCTTCCTTATCCATGTTCCTCACACCTTTGTCTCCTCATTTCTAGGAAGTGTGTGCATATATCATCCCTCATTTGCATCCATCACACCCCTGATTTTCTTATGTCCAGATGGTGGATGCTTTCATCCTTCTTCATCTATGCTTATCTTACTCATAGCCACCTCTATCTCCTTATCTCTAGGTAGTGCGTGCTTTTGTCCTTTCTCATCCTTGTTTGTTACACTCACACCCCTCTTTTCCTCCTTGTCTCTAGGAAGTGTGTGCTATCACCTTTTGTCACCTGTGTTTATTGTACTCACACCCCCTTTGTCTCTTTCTCTTCAGTTTGTGTGTTCTTTCGTCCTCCCTGATCTTTATTCACTGCCCTCACACTTGCCTGGTCTCTTTATCTCCAGTCGGTGTGTGCTTCTATCCTTTCTCATCTATGTTCACTGCACTCACATGCCATCTCTAGAGAGTGTGTTCTTTTGTCCTTGTTTATTGGTGTTCCCATATTTATACTCTTTGTCTTTTTGTCCCTAGTTTGTGTGTATTTTTATCTTTCCTCATCTGTGTTTGCTGTACTTAAACACCTCTTTGTCTCATCCCTAGGTGGTGTGTGCTTTTGCCTTCTTTTATTGGTATCCACTGCACTTAGGGCCCTCTGTCTGTAGAGAGTACGTGCTTGTATCATCAATGTTCCCCATAGTTCCAACCCCTTTGTCTCCTCATCCCTAGTTGGTGTGTACTTCTATCTTACCCCATCTGTGTTTGCTGCTGTGCTGACACCCCCTCTACTTCCTCTTCCCCAGGAGGTGTGTGATTTTGTCCTCCCTCACCCATGTTTGTTGCAATCACACCCACACTCTCACATTTCATTTCTAGGGAGTGGGTCCTATTGTCCTCCCTCATGTTCACTGCACTGACACCACCCTTTGCCTCATTGTCTCCAGAAACTGTGTGCTCTTGCATTTGCTCATTTGTATTCAGCATGCTCACACCTCCCTTTGTCTCCTCATTGCTAGTCGGTGTGTCCTTTTGTCTTTCTTTGTCTACCTTCAGCTCAATTGCACCCATTTGCCTCCTCATTTCTAGAGAGTCTGTGCTTTTGTTCTCCCTCATTCATGCTCACCACACTCACACCCACCCTTGTCTCTTTGCCTCTAGAAAGTGAGTGTCTTTATCCTCCCTCATTTTATTCACTGCACTCATCCATCTTTCACCTCCTCATCTTCAGCCAGTGCGTACTGTCAACTTTGCTTATTCATGTTCACCATACCCACACCCCCTTTGTCTCCTCATCCATAGGTGGTATGTTCTGTCATCTTCTTTCATCTGTGTTCACTGTGCTCACACTCCCTTTGCCTCCTCATAGGAAGTGCGCAATTTTATTCTGCCTCACCTACATCACTCACACCCACCTTTGCCTCATTGTCTCTAGGAAGTGTGTGCTTTGGTTCTTCCCCATCTGTCTTCCCCGCACTCAACCTTTGTCTCCTCATCTCTAGGAAGTGCATGCTTTTATTCTCCCTCATCCATGTTGGTTGTACTGACAGCCACCTTTGTTTCGCTATCTCTAGAAATTTGTGCTTTAATTCTTGTTGATATGTGTTCACTATACTCACACTCCCTTTGTATCTCTATCTCCAGGCAGTGTGTGCTGTTGACTTCTGTCATCCATGTCCACTGTGTTCATACTACCCTTTGCCTCCTCATCTCTAGGAAGTGCATACCATTTTCTCCCTCATTCATGTTTGCTGCACTCACACCCACCATTTTCTCCTTCTCTCTAGGAAGTGTGTTCTTTTATTCTCACTCATCTGGTTCACCACACTCACACCACTATTTGCCTCCTCATCTGCAGGTAGTGTGTGCTCTCAACTTTGCACATTAGTGTTCACCCAGTAACTATTTCTTTGTCTCCTCATTTCTAGCTGGTGTGTTCTTTCATCTTCTCTCATTCATATTTGTTGAGCTTGCACACCCTTTCCTTCCTCTTCCCAGGAGGTGTGTGATTTTGTCCTCCCTCATCCATGTTTGTTGCAATCACACCCACCTTTGTCTCCTCATCTCTAGGAAGTATGTGTTTTTGTTCCTCCACACTTGTATTTTCTGAGCTCACCTCTTGTCTAGGAAGTGTGTGCTTTTATCCTGTCTTATCTGAGTTCACCACATTCACACCCACATTTGTCTCCTCATCTCTAGGAAGTGCATGCTTTTTTTTGTCCTTGTCATCACTGATAGTCTGATACCACCCTTTGCCCCCTCATCTCTAGGAAGTATGTGTTTCTGTCCTCATCTGCATTCACTGCACTCATACCCCTTTTGCCAACTATTCTCTAGGAGGTGTGTGGTTTCATCCTGCCTCATCTGTGTTGATTTCACTCACATCCACCATTTTCTTCTTCTCTCTAGCAAGTATGTGTTTTTGTCCAACCTCATCTGGTTCACTGCACTCACCACCCTTTGCCTCCTCATCTTCAGCCAGTGCGTGCTGTCAACTTTGTTCATTCATGTTCACCATACTCACACCTCCTTTGTTTCCTCATCCCTAGCTGGTATATACTTTCATCTTCTTTTATATGTGTCCACTGTACTCACACCCCCTTTGCCTCCTCTTTTATAGGAAGTGTGTGATTTTATCCTGCCTCACCTATTTTCATGTCACTCACACTCACCTTTGCCTCATTGTCTCTAGGAAGTGTGTAATTTTGTTCTTTATCATCTATGTTCACTGTACTCAAACCCTCCTTTGTCTCCTCATCTCTAGGGAGTGCATGATTTTGTTCTCCCTGATCTGTGTTCATCACACTGATACCCACCTTTGTCTCCTGGTCTCTAGAAAGTGTGTGACTTTGTCTTCTCACATCTATATTCACCATACTCACACCCTCCTTTGCCTCCCCATTTCTAGCAAGTGTGTTATCTTGTCCTCCCTCATCTGTTTCTTATGCTCTCACCCACTTTTCTCTCCTCACTTCCAGTTGGTGCATGCTTTCATCCTTCTTCATCTGCATTCATCCTACTCACACCCCTTTTGTCTCCTTACCCCCAGGAAGTATGTGTTTTCGCCCTTCCTCATTCTGTGTTTGCTGTACTCATGCTCTCTCTGTCTCTCTCTCTTCAGTTAGTGCGTTCTTTTGTCCTCCCTGATTGGTATTCACAACACTGATGCCTGCTTGTGCTTGGTCTCCTTATTACCAGTTGGTGTGTGCTTTCACATCCTATCTGTGCCACATTTACATCTTGTTTCTAGAGAGTGTGTCCTTTCATCCTCCCTCATCTGTGTTTGCTATACTCACACCCTCCTTTTTCTCCTCATCTCTAGACAGTGTGTGATTTTATCCTCCCCCCATTGCACTCTTACCCATTTGTGATTCCTTGTTTTCAGTTGGTGTGTACTTTCATCCTTCTTTGCACACATTCATCCTACTCACACCCTCTTTTGTCTCCTTATCTCCAGGAAGTATGTGTTTTCATCCTCCTTCATCAGTATTCACTATACTCACACCCCCCTTTGTCTCATTGTCTAGTTAGTATGTACTTTTATGTTTCCTCATCCACAGCCACTATACTCATACCTCATTTGTCTCCTTGTTCCCAGTTGGTGTGTACTTTATCTTCCCTCACCTGTGTTTGCTGCACTCACAACTCTCCTCGTCTCATCATGTCTAGTTGGTGTGTGCTTTTGTCTTCCCTCATCCATGTTTGCTGCACTCACACCACCCTTTGCCTCCTTATCTCTAGGAAGTTTGTGTTTTTGTCCTCTCTCATTCATGTTTGCCACACTCACAACCACTGTTTTGTCTCCTCATATCTAGGAAGTATGTGCTGTCATCATCCCTCATCTGTGCTTACTGGACTCAGGCCCCTTTGTCTCCCCATCTCTAGGCAGTGCGTGCTTTTGTCCATCTTCATCCATGTTCACTGCACACATACACCCTTTGCCTTCTCTTCTCTAGGAAGTGTGTGATTTTATCTTGCCTCATCTGTGTTTACTTCACTCATACCCCCATTGCCTCCTCTTCTCTAGGAGGTGCATGGTTTCATCCTGCCTCATCTGTGTTCACTTCACTCATACCCACCTCTGCCTCATTGTCTCTAGGAAGTGTGTCCTTTGGTCCTCCCTCATTTGTGTTCACTGCACTCATACCCACCTTTGTCTCCTCATCTCTAGGATGTGCATGCTTTTGTCCTCCCTCATCCATATTCACTATGCTGACACCACCCTTTGCCGCCTTGTCTTCAGACAGTATGAACTTTGCTTATCCTCATTTATAATACTCACCTCACCCTGCCCCCCCTTGTCTCTTTGTTCATAGTTTGTGTGTGATTTTGTTTTCTTGTTTTCAGTGTACTCACCCCCCCCTTTGCCTCCTGGTCTCTAGGAAGTGTGTGATTTTATCCTTCCTTATCTGATCTTATCACACTTACACCTATCTTTGTTTCCTTGTCTTTAGGAAGTATGTGCTTTTGTCCCCCCTCATCTGTGCCCATTGCACTCACACCACCCTTCAACTCCTTGTCTCTAGGAAGTATGTGCTTTTATCTGTGTTTGCCCTACCCACACCCACCTTTGTCTCTTCCTCTCTAGGAAGTGTGTGCTTTTTCTCTCCCTCATCCACATTTGCTAAATTCAGACTCTCTTTGTTTTCTCATCTCTAGGGAGTGTGTGCTTTTGTCCTTCCTCATCAGTATCTACCACACTCACACCCCCTTGTCTTTATCTCCAGGCACTGGTGCTTTTGACTTCCATCATCCATGTATGCTGTACTCACATTGCCTTTGCTTTTTTGTCTCTAGAGAGTTTGTCCTTTTGACTTTCATCATCCATGATTGCTGTACTCACATCCAATTTGCCTTCTTGTCTCTAGAGAGTTTGTGCTCTGGGCTTTCCTCATCTGTGTTCACCATACTCACACACCCATTTCTCCTCTCCACTTTAGGATGTGCGTGCTTTTGTGCTCCCTCATTCATATTTGGGTCTTCACACCTAACTTTGTGTCCGTATTGGTAGCCTGTGTGTGCTTCCCCTCATTTGCCTTCATCATACTCACACCCCTCTTTGTCTTGTCATGTCTAGAATGTGTGTACCTCCCTTTTCGACCTTGCTCAATTTCACCTGCCCTTGCTGTCTAGATTGTAAGTTTTCTCCTTATTATCTATCAACATTGATGTTCTCACTTTCTGGATGAAGCCATATGTTGGGATCTGGGATCATGGTCTCCTCGAAGCCTGGATGCACCCCCAACCAGAGGTCTCACATTTTTAACTTTTTGGAAATCTCAGGTGAATTCAAAGATAAATCAAGGTTTTTGGCTTCTCTCACTGATGTATATATTTGCTAACATTTTCCTGTCTCCCATAACCCCAAGCATAGTCCATCTGCAATAAAGACTCAACAGTAGTGGGGGTAGTTTAAGGAGTTGAATGAAGGAATATCATTTCTCACACCCTATATAATTCTCCTTGAAAATGTATAAAGAACTCCCAAGAGCTGAGATATTTTCATTAGAAAGGGTGGTACTAGTAGTTGCATTTGAAGGCAAAGAGATATGGACAGACAAGTTGGTTGAATGGGTATTTGTAGCCAAAGATTGTGATGGAGAATCTGATGATATAGAAACAGTTGGAAAAGAATGTAGTTGATATGGCACACTATGTACAATATCAGCTTTCCATGTCAAGAAAGAGATGTTGATGTCAACGTGTTTGTGGAAACATGTTCAACCATTTGTAGTAATGAGTAATGAGAGAAGCCGAACTTGCTGGGTAATCTTGCTTGAGTCTTGCTGTGTACTTGCTTAGCTTATGTTAAGTACATACCTATAACAAAGGCCCTGTGGTACAGGAGCTCATGTTAGTTATTGTAACTGTGTGTTGAAGTTCATGAATTAATGTGTAAGTTGTGAGTGTAGTAATACAAATTTTAGTTCATAAATCGAAAGGTAACTTTGATAATATGCATGTAAGTAAGGTTAGTTCAGTAGCATTCAGGGCACCTGAAAGCTTTAGAATTCTTATCATTAATCAAATAACCTATTCAATTACACTGGGGGGATGTGGCTTGTTTATTCTCTGGATAAACAGTGATTAGTGCATTCTGATTGGTCAATCACAATTTATTCAGCATATATCTGATGGATATACAAGCCAACTCCCACAGTGTTAGCAATAGGTAAGACTTATCTTATACAACCTGCACAAGTATAATCTTTGAACTTGCGCACACATGAAGATGAGTTTTAACAAAATGGATTGTTCAAAAATTCTACTACATTGATCTCTTGCAGTTTATGTACTTTCCTATTTTATTAACTAAAACCTTCTTCTATCCCCTACTTATTTCTGTATTCTTCTAATGATTCATTTGCAGTCTTTCCATTGCATTGCTTGAACCAGATCTTCCCTTTATTGACTTCAGTTACTGACTTGTGGATGAATCATTGTGATGTATTCCAATTAACAGAAGCTGCGGTTGAAGAAGGTGAAAGGGGAGGGAGTACACAATTATCCAAGCCATGAATGTGTAAGGTGATGTTTGTTTGGCTTATCAGTATTTAGCCAAATATGCATAGGACTCTCTAGTCAAACGAATATACACAACAAGCCCTTTTTAGTCAAACAAACATGTGATGTCTACAATGTCCTTTGCACTTGTTCTTTAATACATACAGACTAGCTAGTGCAAATACTATATTGGTACCATAACATAGCCCAGTCTGGAGGTGTGAAAGATTAGTACAGAATTTGGTAGTACTGTACTATTATGACCAACTCTTCATGCTGCTTGGGGTGTGACACCTTTTAATCATCTCTTTGTCACTTCAATGTCCTGTGTGATGTGTGATGAAGAGTTTTTGCTCTTCATTTACCTTGCATTTACCATATATCTCCCTGGTGGATTGGCCCTGTAACCTGTCAAATTTTTGACACAAAGGCAAGGATGTGTTCCTCAGGTAGACCATGGTTCAAAATATGCTAAATTTGATGTATAAAGTACATACAGTCATCCACCGGCCTGTGTTACACCACAACTGAATGTTACACTTTTGCTCCTTGAATAACTTTTGAAATATTCAACATACTTCCTTGAAACAAATTTTATCTGGAGCTCCTATATATGGTCTCTCCTCACATCAAGTTTTGTATGTGCAGGATGAGCATCAAATATGTAGTGATTTGTTCAAAATGGGGTACTTAGCAAAAAACCTCCCACCACTGAATGTTACACTGGTATTTTCAAAATTACTCAACAGAAAGAAACCTGAGAGCTCCGAAATTTGGAAGACACAAAGAATGTACATCACCAAGATTGAATCTACAATTTTTAAGTGAAAATGTATCCCCATCATGTTTTGAGTGAACTTTCAATTTTTGATGTACAGAGGAGTGCAAAAAGAATGAAGGTTGGGTCATTTTCTGGTTCTTTCCAAGAATCTATTGTACCTCAAATATATTTGTGTATTCTTATACATTATGTAGTTGCATTACACTTCCCTTGGTATGGAGTAATTTCAAGGTCTTTATGCTGCCACTGCTTTTCTGAGCAGACTCCGGCTGGACTCCATTGGACTGAGGGTATGCAGAACAGATATTTTTCTGCTTTGCAACTGCAGCAATTTTTCTGGTGAATGTCCGAAGCTTTTCCGAGCATTTCTGGTCAGACCTCAAAGTCCATTGGACTTTTCCAATGGACTTCCAATGGACTAACAGCAAACTAGCAGCCAGTCCACTGGAAATGACCAGCAAGCACCAACAGAATTCCAGTGGACAAATCCAATGGAATTCCAACAGACTGTTGTTATTATTATATAACATAAAAAAAACGCAACATCAGGGAATTGAACACTTGACCTTAGGAGCTCAAGCATATGGAACAAAATGCTAAACCAGCTGCACCAAGATGCCTTTGACATAGGTAAGTACTTTGTACTATATATACTTACTGTTTGACCACTTTCCTGGAACGGTCACCAGCAAACGCCGACGCTTGATTTGGCCATCATCAATGATCTACATCTCTTTTGCTCAACCACATCCATCCCCAGCGACGATGACAATCCAGTGTCATCTGATGGCGGCGATGCATGGTGACATTGTCTACCCAAAGTGAGTGCCCATCCCCACCCTTTCCATCCTCTGACACAGGTTCCAGGTGCCACATTGCCAACATCGACATGGCAACCAAACAGCAGACGATGAATCTGATTGATTTGTCATTCATCATTGTTCATTGGTGAGCACCCCCAACCTACCTCATCTGACCCACCAACAGATGATGATACACGCTGACGGCCCACCATGCCCACCAGCACCCACAAACAGCCACGACAGCCCACCAACCCACAACAACACGACACACAATGCGGATGGCACGATGACACAACAACGACAACACAATGATGTGTCAACGACACACGATGTGGACAACACGACAACAAAGGGGGACAACAGCCCATGATGCCCACCAGCACCCATATATGGCCACAATGGCCCACCAACACCCCACAAACGGCAACAGCAACCCAGCACCACCCACGACATGATGACATGTCAATGACATGTGAGGATGACAACACAACAACAACACAACAACAACAACAACAACAACAACAACAACAACAACAACAACAACAACAACAACAACAACAACAACAACAACAACAACAACAACAACAACAACAATGACACGACATGTGAGGACGACAACACAACATGCAAGGACAATGATAAAACACACAACACGAGGATGGTGACACAACACGACACAGTGACATGTCAATGATGCATGCCAATGACCATGCACAAATGGGGATGAGGGCCCAGCACCACCATTCCCTCTCCCTCTATCAGTCAATGCCCACCATCCCCTCCCTCCTCCATTACTCACCACTCCCTCCCCCCTTCCTTACTCCCTCCCCCTCCCTTGCTGCTTACCACTCCCTCCCCCCTCCCTTACTCCCTCCTCCTCCCTTGCTGCTCACCACTCCCTCCTCCTCCCTTGCTGCTTACCATTCCCTCCCCCCTCCCTTTCTGTCCCTCCCCCCTCCCTTTTTGTCCCTCCCCCCTCACTTTTTGTCCCTCCCCCCTCACTTGTTGTCCCTCCCCCCTTGTTACGGTTGTTAAGCGTAACGGGCAGTTATGTTAAGCTTCGAGTTCGATCGTTCGTTCGTCTACCACAGTTCTCGTCGTTGAGACAAAGTGGGTCACTACAACGTTCGCTTGGCCCTTAAAGTGACACGGTAGGTTCTAGTAGCCTTGCGCCCGAAGGTCAGTCCAAGGTTCTATGATACGCTGACTTCTGTTAAGTCAAACGTGTATTAAGTCTTCAACGTTGAAGACTTATCGTCGAGGTTTCAAAAGAGGCTCTAAGTCGAAAGACTATAGAGTTCGAGGGCGATCTTAGTTTCTGAGGGTCTGATGAGGGAGAACTAAGCTTAGATTGCCTAGGTTCAAGCTACCGAATACAAACGAGAAGTACCCTACTTATATACTAAGGGTATGAGTCAAATACGAGTCAGAGGCATGAGTTCGTATGACTTGTGTAGAGTCATACGAGTCGTATCTAGTCTATAAGAGTCATATGAGTCATATGAGTCAAAATGAAGGAATCTGACTGGAATGCGTATCTAGAACTGTCCAGTATGGTCTAGATACGTCTTAGGAGTATGTAAGTGTTCTGCGCGTATAGTAAAAGAAAGAGTTTGTAACATTACCCCCCGTTTAAACTTCAATATCACCGATATTGCCAGATGAAGAAGTGACAGAGTCGAAGTCGCTAACCAGGTCTTCCAAGTCGAAGAGAGGAGACGGGTGTGTCGTAGGGGAGTATGGATTATAGAGAGGGGATGATGGTGGAGTTGGCGGAGCGAGAGGTGGCATAGAGGGTGAGAAGGGTGGCGAAGACGGTGGTGAAGGGGAAGTTAAATCGACGAACTCGGGTTGCTTCCTGGGGGTATACCAATCTTCGTTCCTAAGGATTGGTACTCCAGTCCAATCATAGGTCTTCTTTTTCCACATTTGCGTTCCTGTCGTCGTATCGTACCCTGCGGGTCTCATGTTCTTCTCCCATTCCCATGCTTTGTCAGACTTCTTCTTTGTTTCGCAATTAGGGGTGGTATGTCCCGGTCCCCACCAGAGGCATCCTCCACATTGGTAGTCACTACAATTCTTGCGAATGTGTCCCATCTTCTTGCACTTTGAGCAGCGAGGGGTGGGAGTACGTCGATAAGGATGATAAGCGGTGATGCGGGGGGATGTTGGGAACTTCTTCCCGTAAGAATGAATCTCGGCATCAAACTTCTCAAAGTATTGTATAATTCCTCGTCCTGCGAAGTGGCTCGGAATATAATCGGGAATGGCGGGGAGTTTATCGCAGTCTCTGATAGTGTTTAGGATGCCATGCCGGATGGCGGCGGCGATGGCGGTAGTTACCATGTGATGGAGGCTGAGGACATTTTCGTCCTTATACCCGAGTTTGCTTTCGAGACGTTTCTCAGTGGCCACTGCTTCTAAAATAAGATGAAGGTCGAGGGAAAGGGTGGGGTCGTCTTGGCAGGTTTTGATGAGGGTGCAGACGTGTTCTTCTTTTTGAATGAGGCGTTCAAAGAAGAGGGTGGCAGCGAGGAAAGCTTCGGAGTTGAAGAGAGAGGCGTACATTGTTTAGAGAGGAGGTTGGTTGCGAAGAAAGCTGGTTGGCTTGATTGCGAGTTTAGACGATTGTCTGAGGATTCTACTGGAGATTCTTCCTCTTCTTATAGTTTTTGAGAATCTCGGAAGCATTCTTCAAATTGCTTTCTGGTTCCCACGTCTCGTCGGAGTATCCTTTCCACTCCACTAGATAGTGATATCCTTTGCCTCGTTTTCTGTGATCTCTGATTGAATCTACTTCGTATTCTTCTTCTCCTTCGATAAGGTCAGGAGGGGGTTCAGGGAAGTTCTTTCCGTGAACATCGGTTTCGCGATATGGGGTAAGAAGTTTTCCGTGGAAAACGTTATGTATTTTCCACTGAGGTGGAAGTCGAAGTTTGTATGTTACTGGCCCCATGATTTCTTCGATCTTGAAGGGTCCTTCGCGTAATGAGTCTATCTTTGGGAATTTGTGTCCTCTGTTAAGATGTCGTCCATCTAACCATACTAAGTCTCCTTTACTAAATGGAGGAGAGTTCTTTTTGGATCGTTTAATTTGAGCTTGTCGTGCCAGTTCGTGTGCGGCTCGAGCGTTGTCTCTTTCCTTTAAGAGTTCTGAGAATTTCTTTTCGACTGCAGGGACATTCGTCTTTGAGAATGCTATTGGGACTCCGGTAGGTTCGCATCCGAACATGAGGTAGAATGGGGTCTGTTTCGTAACAGAATGGGGTCGTCCATTGTATGAGAATTCGGCGATAGAAAGGTTTTTGTCCCATTCTTCTGGAATTCTCTTGCAGAATATTCTGAGATACAGTTCGAGTTCTCGATTAACTCGTTCTGTTTCTCCGTCTGTCTCAGGGTGATATGCTGTACTGATTCGTTGTTTGATTCCACAGAGTTTCATTAAACCTCGATAGGTTTTTGAAACGAAAAGGGGATCTCGGTCGGATATGATGTCGTCTGGTATTCCAAATCGTTTGAAGGTATGATCGAAATGAAGTTCGGCGGCTTCTAAGGCGGTCAATTCTTTGTTGGTTGGGATGAAAATTACCCCCTTCGTAAGACCATGGTCTACCACGACCATTATGCGGTCATAGCCTCGTTTTGTCTTTGGTAATCCTGATATGAAATCCTGCGATATCATCTGAAAGGGTCGCGTTGCTGTGGATTTAATCGGCTGTGTCGGTGGTTGCGTTGGATGTGTGTTAATCTTGTTCTGTTGACACGTGGCACATCCTGCAACATATTCATATACGAAATGGCGTAGTCTTGGCCACCAGTAATGTCTTTGCACCATTTCTAGTGTATTATCTCTTCCAGGGTGTCCAGTCATTGGCGAATCGTGAAACTCTTGTACGATGAGTTTCCGTATTCCGTTACTGTCGGGAATGTAGCATCGGTCTTGATAGAACAGTTTTCTATCTTCTATTTTCCAATCGGAAAGGCTTGATTTAATAGGTGGAATTCCTTTCGTAGAAAGAACATTCGATATGTTCTTTATTAATTCGTCTGAGGCTGTTGCTGATTCAATCATCTTTGCGAGTTCCATATTGATAAGATTAATGAATATCTTGTCTGGGAGTAAGACGAGATTTTCATTATCATCGTCGTTATCAGGGACGTGATCTGGTCGTCTGGATAGAGCGTCGGATTGGATCATTCTTGATCCAGGAACGTGAATGAGTTGAAGATTAAACCTTGATAGGTATAAACTCCATCTAGCTTGTCGGCGGTTCAGTTTCTGCATCTTTCGGAAGTATGTCAGATTCTTGTGATCTGAGAATACTGTTACGGGGTGTGGACTTTCTTCTAGAAAGTGTCTCCACGTTTCTAGGGCTCGTATGATGCCTAGAAGTTCTCTGTCGTATATGTCGTAGTTTCTTTCTGTCTGGGTAAAGCTGTGAGAAATGTAACCACATGGTTTCAAATCTCCGTTCGTATCTCTTTGTCGGAGAACGGCTCCTGTGGCCCATTTGGATGCATCTGATTCAACATAGAATGGTTTTGTTGGATCAGGGATGACTAGAACTGGTTTTTCTAGAAATTTCTTCTTTAAGTTATCGAAGGCCGTTTGACACTCTTGTGACCATTCGAAAACTTTTGTTTTCTTAGTAAGTTCGTTCAGGGGTTTGGCAGTTTCTGCGTAGTTGCCAATAAATCTTCGGTAGAAGTTGCCAAATCCTAAAAATGATCTGACACCTTTTACGTTCTTCGGCGGAATCCAATCTTGAATTCCAGCTAGTTTTATCGGGTCCATGGAGATTTCATTCGGCTTTATGATGAATCCCAGGTATTCGACTTCTTTTGCGTTGAAAACGCACTTTACTGGTTTAAGGAACAAATCCTTTTCTTCTAGTCTTTTTAGAACTTTCTCGGTTCGTCCATGTTGATGTCTGGGGTCTTTGGAGAATATGAGAATATCGTCAAGATAGATCAGAACCCATCCTTGGGCGATCATATCGGCGAAATAGTCATTCATCATGGCTTGGAATGTTGCGGGTGAATTGGTCATTCCAAAGAACATTACTGTTGGTTCGAATAGTCCTTTTTTAGTGATGAAGGCACCTTTCCATTCATCACCCTGTTTAATTCGGACGTTGTTATATCCCCATCGGATATCTAGCTTCGTGAAGACCGTGGCTCCTTGAAGCTTGTTTAGGAGATCATCAATAGATGGGAGGGGATATGCGTTCTTGATTGTGTAATCGTTCAGATAACGATAATCTTGACAGGGTCTCAGCGCTTTGCTGTCTTTCTTTGACACGAAAAAGAAAGGTGAGGCCTGAGGTGAATTCGACGGTTTGATGAAACCTTTCTTTAGGTTTTCATCAATGAACTTGTTCATTTCTTCTTCTTCTTTCTGTCCTAATGGGTAGAGTTTCGATCTCTTTGGTACGAAGTCTGGTTTGAGATCGATCCTATGATCCCATGGTCTTGATTCGGGAAAGCGTTCTGATGCTTTCTTTTCGAATACTGATCTGAATTGGTGATATTCTTTCGGGACTAGTTCCTCGAAAGTCTTCTCTTCTTTCGTTTCTTCTTTGTGTGCAAGACTTTGCGATATAGATGTTTTAGCTCTGATCGTAATATCTGAATCAATTTGAATTGGTTGATTCAGGGGTTCTTCTCTCTCTGGTTCGGATGTCGTTACGGTTTCTTTTTGGAGATATGCGGTGACAAGATCTCCTTCTGATTCGTTTTCTTCATCATCTTCTGTGTCGGGTACTAGGGCCGGCATATCTTCGTATTGATCGGGAAGTTCATTCACAGCTATGAGAATGGCTTCTTCGTTATCTGGTAATCTTTCAAACTTTGGGGTTGCGTCTTCATCGGGTATCTCTTCAATAGAGATCGTTGATTTCTTTCTGTCAGGGATTTTTCGCAGCTGTTCTGCAAAGGCTTCTTTTGACTTCATCTTCTCGCGTTGTGATTCTATTTTTAGAATCTGAATTTCTCGGTCTACGGCTTGCCGTATGTTCGGTTTCTTTATCCTGTCTGGGATAATCTTGATGGTCTTCTTCGTCCAGTTTACTTCGGGGTTGATTCTGTCTAACCATGGTAATCCGAGGATTACGTCTTCTTTTCCTAGGTTGGAAATTAAAAATCGTGTGGAATTTTCTTTTCCATCGATTTTTGTCGGGAGTCGGGTGTAGAACCTAATAGGTCCATTCCTGTTCGGACTTTCGTCTACGTTTGAGACTTGGATTTCCTTATCCAATCTCAAGAGCGGGAGTCTGTGTTCTTTTGCGAATCGTTCGTCCATAAAGATTCCTTGAGCGCCACTGTCGATAAGCGCTTTTGTTTCGACGGTTTTCTTTCCATTAATAATTTTTGTGTTAACGCGCATTGATTTTGAGTCGTTATTAGGTACACTTCGAATTCTAAGAACTTTAATGGAGAATTGTTTAGAAGGTCTAGACGTCGTTGCTAGCCTTCTCACTAAAAACCCTTGTCTTCATCGTCTGATTCTGGTTCGTTTGGATCCTTATCCAAAGATTCTATAAAAGCAACTTTTGCTTCTTCTAATTCTTCGTCGTCGAGTCCTGCCATGATGGCACGGACTTTCTGTGCGGCGTTCTTGTTCGGTGGTGGCATGATAGCCTTATATGGAGTGGCGGGTTTGGACGTGTTTCCTTTTCCGGTATTAAGGGCGGGATTGGTTGCGTGGTCGCGAGACATGTGCCCTGTTTTTCCGCATCGGAAACATAACCCTTTCTTCATATATTCGTTTCGTTCTTCGATGGTTAATCTGTCGATATCCATGGCGTCTGGATCTCGAGATCTGGGGGTATAGGATGGTCGAGGAGTCTGGCGTGGCATGTTCCTAGTCGGTTGCCATCCCATTAGTTTCGTTTTCCATGCTTGGTTCTTATAATACGACTTGTCGAATTTCCTAGCATCTTCTATGATGACTTTAAGTGTCTCGGGTGGTTCTTTCTGTGTCTCGATCTTTTCTCGTAGCGAGGGATTTAAGTGTTCGAGGAAAAGCTGAGAGAGAACCGGGTTCTCTACGTCTCCTGTTAAAACATATCCTGCTCGACTGGCGAGTGCGGTAAAGTCGAGAATGTACTGTTCGAGTTGTCCGGGTTTATGTTTAAGGATAGAGAGGTCTACTCTCGCTTTATCTTTCGTCTTTCTGATGTCAAATGTTTCGTTTAACAATTGAACAAATTCTTTCCACGTTGATGCTGTGGTGAATACTCCATCGGTATTCAAGTGGGTGTCTGTGAAGTGTTCTGCCCAGTCGGCAGCTCTGCCGGTGATCATAAAACTGAGGGCGAACTGGATCTTTCGCTTGTCGGTGCTGAACAAGTGATCGTTGACCTCCATGTAGGTCTGTACTGTTCTAAGCCAAGTTTTGTACTTGTCTTCGTTTCCATCAAAATCTTTGGGTGCGCGGCATCGGTCTCCTTTGGCGTTAGCGGCGTCGGCCATTCTTTGTCTAGGTTCTGTTGGGTTCTCGGGTTCTACTGGTGTGTCGGTCTGTCTGGGAGTTCCAGGTACTGCTGGTGACTCGGGGTACGGGTTTA